CGACCTCCGCACGAAGGAAAGGGCGCCAGCTGGAGAGACGGCTGAAGAAAAAAGGGTGAGAAGAACTAGACGGATAGATGAGATATGGCAGGAGAGGCAGAGATTGGAGGCAGCGGGGGAGCTCCCGGAGCAGCAACAGGAGGGGCAGCGATCAGAGGCAGCARGAGCACTCCCGGGTCAGCCACCCAGCGCACCAGCTAGGGCTCCGGAGATTCCTGAGATGTGGAGAGACTTCTGGGAGCAAAGAGGAGAGGAACTTTCATCGCCAGTCAGAGCCGGGTTTGGAATGGCCAGGAAGGCGGAAGAGAGGTTAGATCGTAAAATCAAGTTCCTGGCGAAGACCACTTTTGACCGACACTTGTTATTGGAGAGCGATCTGGCGGGGAAGAAAATGAAGGAAGCCATCCATGGAGTACGCTTGGAGGCTATGGAAATGGAAATTCAGGAACTCAGGGCCTTGGTGGCCAGCCAGGCAGCTATCATCGAGAGCCTGAGGCAGCAAACCCAGGGAAGGTGGACAGGCCAGAGAGCAGCAGGCAGGGAGAGCAGAGGCAGCCGGGACAAGGATTGCTAGGACAGCCATCTGCAGCAGAGCCTCGCCAGGAGCCACCTATGGGGAGAGCTATCCTGGAACCAGAGGAGGCGAGAGCCCGGAGACAGGCGGAGAGAGAGGCACTCGAGTTTAGAGCCCCTACTGAGCTCGCGACGCTGCCAGTGGCGGCGGCAGGCCCAGTCGTACCTTTGGTAGTAGAGGAGGGGCCGCCACCATCGAGCAGTGAGCCGGCTCAGGGCTCAGCAGAGGGATCCATGGGCGTGCTCCTTGAGGCGGTGCATACTATGCAGGAAGAGGTGAGTTTGTTTTCGCCTGAGCAGAGGATAGAGGAGCCTCTTGAGAGAGAGATGGGGATTGAGGTAGAGGGTGCTATCGAGAGCAGGCTCCAGAAAATGGGCACACCTGAGTATGGACCAGAGGAGATTGAGGAGCAGCCCACGACAGTGCCAGGAGAGACACTCGAGAGGAGGCCTCAGAGGTTGGACATGCCTGAGTACGTCCCAGCGACAGGGGATTTGAGGAGTAGACTGGGATCTTGGGCTACTGGATCTGAATCTGGGGGACCGGTTCCTGGGACGGAGCAGGAGGAGGTCATTAGTACCACAGCTCCTCGACAKGAGCGGCAGGAGGTTGTTAGTACCTTGGTAGGATCTCCTTCATCGCCACCTCCTCAGCCCAGGAAAAAGAAGTTCAAGAGAAAAGTAGATCAGCTATGTTTCTACTGCAAGAGGGACATGCATCTGGCTTTGGACTGTCTCGAGTTTCTTGAGGATAAGGCAGCAGGGAAGGTCTCAGAGGTAGAAGGTAAAATGTATGATAGACAGGGTAGCATAGTAGAGAAGTCCGCAGATGGACTTAGGGCTCAGTTATATAGGCAAAACCAGGAGGAATTGAGGAGGTAGGGTCAGTTTTGTCTATATAAGTGAGCGAACATTTTGTGAGGCATCAACTTAGGTTGTGTGTGATACCATCTTAGACTTAGAAGACATTTTGATGATTACTATTAGTCTAGATCTGAACTCTAGTATTCCTACTGAGTTGGAATCTTGAGGATCAGGGTGAGTTAGATGAGGCATGTACATATTTAGGTAGCCTACGCCCTGGCCTTTGAGACACARATCGGACATGTATTCTAGRRGCAGTTATTAATGTAAGTTTGGTGTGACTTAAGTTGAGTGAGCTATGATTGATTTTATTTTCTTAAGTATATATTATGATGAGGTTTTTGACCATTCTTATATGTGACGATCACTTGTCACTCTCACATATGTGATTGTACTCTGATSTATGATGAGTTTGTGTGRACGATGTGTGAAAAACATCTGGTGTATTATAGGTACTGTGAGTATGATTGTAAGTAAAACTGTCTACTCCTCGGTATACTTGTGCGACCTGCCCACGGCAGCTGATAAGGCAGAGTATAAGGGGAGGAAGCGCAGTCCGTCTGTGAAAGCTATCTAAGTTGTGATGAGGACCCATAAGATGGTCTCTAAGTGATGTTCTGTTTTATGATGAGACCTGCTTAGATTTTGGAAAAGGGGGGATGTTTTATGATGTTTTCAGGAACATCACTTTGAGAGAGGGGGTGTTTGGTTTATGACGAGACCCTCGTGATTTCTGGAAGAGGGAATGTATTGTTTATGGCGAAACCCCTCGTGATTTTTGGAAAAGGGGGGTATTTTGTTTATAAAAAGAGTCCCGTTTGGATGGTTGGAAAAGGGGAGAGTTTTTTTTTGTTGGAAAACTCTTCCTCAGAAGTGACTAAATTGATTTATGGCATGACGAGTTGTTTGATGGGTGATAAAGCCTGACGGAAAGGGCCACTTTTGTTTGAAATGTTTGAGAAAGTCGCAATGAGTGCAGGGCGAGAGATGTCTCAAGCTGGGTGGCTGCTGGCTCTGATCAAGTCAGGGGTCACGGCCTGGTGGATTTAGCGGTGATTTTGCTTGTAGGAGTGCGAGGGATGCCGTGCCTATTGAAGGAGGGCTGGCAAATGCCTTCGGACCCCTGCGTATCGCGCAGTGGGCCTGTGATTTTGTTTTGCGACGCCCCGTCTAACCACCTGTGCTAATTCTGGGACATTTGAAGAAAGGTCAAACTAACGGAAAAGAAGTTAGTACCTCTAGGGCGTAACCCCATTGGATGGCTGCTAGCCGGCGCAACCTGGCTGCGGGACCGCGAGGTAAGAGTTTAAGGGGGGCTGCCCGCCCCAGTGAAATTACTCCGCGGGATAATGATGGTTGAAAACTTTTGGGGGAAATCCTGATTGAGTGCTTACCAGTAAGTAACCTATCGTTGCGTAACCAACGAAGGTACTGCCGTTAAATAACAATGCGGTGGGCCGTGGTCCTGGTCCGATCAGCCAGGCTATGGTGGGCCAAGGTGGAGACCTAGCCTTTCTGTACTAGACTGCAGAAAGAGCTGAGCGACAAGTGGTAGGGTCAGTTTCGGCAAAGGGTTAGTAAGATAGATGGGAGGAGGAAAGATGGCCGCGCGGAGCTATGGCGGACGAAGAAACGACGAAGGGAGAGAGTCGAGAATTTGCTCGATCTCTAATGGAATCGAGTGAGAGAAGATAGTAGTTTAGCTTTTTGAGGTCGGGCGAACCGGTTTGTGAAGTCAGATGTGGATAGAAGTTAGTAGATTTGGAGTTAGAAGTGAAAGTGAATCTGAACTAAAAAGTGCGTTAGGTGCATGTAGGAGGAAGAAAAGTAATAAGAAGAAGAAGTTCGTATCTCGCTCGATCCTCGATGGATTCGAGCGAGGTAAGAGGCAAAGTGGGGGGTTCTCAACAGGGCGACCTCAAATCCGGTGTTAGTTTTSACAACGGATTAGTAGATTGGGAGGTTAGTAGAGAGAGTTAGTGCGCCGGGGACATGGAGAACGAGTAGAAGGAGAGGAGCAAGAAAAGCGATTCCTCGCTCATTTCTTGGTAAGATCGAGCGGGGCAAGGAGTTGAATAGGGGTTTTGCAGCGCTGTGAATCCGTCTAAGGAGTTAGATTCGAAGTTTAGATAGCGACTTTGCTGCGGTAGCAGTGAGAAGCGGTGCCTAGGAGGATAAGTTTTGGTGCATCGATGTATCTTTCTGCGTTCTAGCGRARGATTCATTGAACGCAGAAGATTCATTCGATTTTGCTCGTCCCACCGATGGACGTAGCGTGAAGCCAATGGCGAAATTGGAAGTTTTTATCWKATTATAAGTGTGTCACGCTTTCTGTTGGTCAGAGTAGTTACCCATTAATGTTCGYTGTGCAGAGCTGGAGAACGACAGGGGGGWGGGAGGCTTGGCAACGTATTTGGTCTGGGGCTACGGCAGGCCTATTCGACCTTGCTCACCCTTTCGATGGGAGTAGCGGGAAGCAGGCTGCGCCGTTAGAAACTTACCTGTTTGTTTGGCCAGTGCTCACCTCACGGTTGGGGTAGGAGACTTGTCTGAACGACCGAGGGCGCTGCCCACTGCATTGACTAGAGTAACCGAGAGTTAAACTGCGGGCTGCGGGCCTACCCATTGACGGGGACCGCTACTCTGCCGAACAGGCTGGCTACGGGCAGGGCAACGAAGGGGGGATTGHTGCTGTGCCYGTTGTATTCGCGRTTCGCCTWGAGTGTGTGTTGTGATTACTATGTTGCAACCAGTGTGATTGCGCGGACCGCTGTATTCCTGCTATCTGTTGTGTCCCCGCTGTGTGACRCCACGAYTGTTGCCGTCGGTAACCACCTACTGGGGGGGCAAGGGGGTTCGACGTGTCCGTTGGTTACTTATTGAACTGCTGCTGCGGGGGCACAGGAYTTCTGCCTGCYAGGCCTGCTGAGGAAGGTGTTGTGACTGAGTATTGCGGACCGAAGGCTGCGGGGCGAGGTAAGCTGCTAATCAACTACTATGGGCTGCCCCCAACCATTTGATTGCGGCTGCGCATACGGTTGCTGCTTGTATTCAACTGCACTGCTGCAACCGAAGCTGACCGTTGCGATCTGCTATATGGAAGTGACTGGACTTGGGAAAGGAGGCTGCGACTGCAGCTCGTTGGAATAGTGGCGAAGAAGGTTGGTGCTGCGGTTTAAAAGGTCGGCAGAGGGTTGGCTGTGACAGTTTCACCTCAGGGGATGACCAAACTGTGACATTGGCTACCATTGCGGGGCCCTCAGGCGCATCAAGATTACAAGGCCCTCTCCAGTGAACTTGAGAGCACCTTTCTGGGATCTGAGAGTCTCACACTTTCCTCTTTCTATGTTTCTAAATCTAAGTCTAGTCTGCTGGTTACGAGAGGAAGGCGGCAGGCGGGATTGCAACCCGTAGGTCCGCATCAAGACTCTGTGGGGAGTCCACCCACCGATTGCGGGAGCCCTGCCGGGACCTAGGCGAGGTTCTGGAGGCAGGGAACCTTCAAGTAAATCATCTTTATCTGTGTAAACCCCACTACTACCCATGTTTGCCTATCTCCCTGCAGTATGACTGTTGTATGCATGCGTTTGTCCCTATGGTTTTTGCTTTCTCTTCAGGACCTAATCAGACTAACTG